CTTTCCGTGTCACAGGGAAGGGGGGTTCCTAACTTCATCTTCCGAGACCTCACCCCTAATACTTCATCTAAATGTTTCCGGGAACGAAATCCGTAGATGAGGGGCGTTGTTGGCAGTTTGCCCTAAATGCGCGTCTCTCATTCCGTCCGTCATCAGTGAGCCGGGGTTAGGGTATGACCATGATGTTGTGCAACTATCTGATTGGCGAAATGTTTTCCAGAAAGGTTGCTCGCTGATGTATCCGATAGATCAATTCGTTAAATCTCTTAGGCGGCACATCTAGATCCGCTGCTAGTAAGGATCGAATGTTTTCTGAGTGTTTGCTCAGAGAGGGATGCAGCTTGAACCTCTTGGCGCGCTCTTTTGAGAACATTACCGGATTGGGTAATTTGCTCAAGACCCTTGGAACTTTTGTGAAGTACAGTGACTTTAACGACCTAGAACTGGATCCAGGAACAAGAAATAAGTATAGAAACATGAGCAAGTATTGTTCCAAGTATGATTGATTGAAGATTAGACGTTTTCGTTTGAAGGCAAAACATAAAAGCGCTCTAAAGAGAACCCCCCGCCTGATACAACACCCCAGTTTCCCATTTGTCCAATTCACATGCTCCAAGTTGTAGGTACTCCATTATCTTTATTCATACCCCAATTTCAAGCAAACGTCTCCACAAAGCGGTGATAGAAAATCATACCTAGCCAGCCGATGACTGGAAACGCAGCCAGCCTCCGAACCCAGTCGAACCGTCTCTTACCCTTTGCAGCAACCCTAGGTCTCTGAGTTGGGGCTGGTGCAGGGGTAACGACAGGTTTCTGGGCAACGGCCACGGGTGCCACGACGACTTCTTCCTGTTCCTTCAACGTTTTCTCCACGTGACTCTCCTGAGAAGCTACAGGGCCACTTTTCTTCGGCCGGAGGACGAAGCAGGGCGCATTCTTGGTAGAGACTTCACTGGTCACGGCGCCCAAGCTGACTGCCTGGCGCGGTACACTGGCCTTGGTCACGAGGAGATAAGGGCTGCCCTCCACCTCGACGACGCAGTTGTGCCACGGCGTCGGGATATGCAGCAGGTCACGGGAGGTCATTGGCGTACCGTCCGGTGAGAGGCCCTCGACGGCGCGGACGACGGCGGGGTCGAAGAGTTGAATCCCAAATTTGGGACCGGCGTTGTTGTGACTATTGGATTGAGAATCATTAGAGTCGAGCACGAAGGCGCAAAGAGAAATGTTTGGAGTAGAACGTACGCATGAATAGAGAGACGGACGTGATTAGGAAGAAGCAACTCAACTAGGTTAGAGTATGCTTGGTTTCTCTGTTTCATATAGTCAGCGATCTGAGACAAAAGGGGAAGCACAACGTAATATCATTGGTGCAGCAATTTCAGCTTACCATAATCATCTCAAACGCTACCTTGGGTGACAACTTCTTCCTCTGACTTCGCGTCATGCCCAGAGTGAAAGGGTGAAGCTCGAGGTCCTCCAGCATGAACCTCGAGAACCCACGATACAGAGCTAGGATGGCCGGGTTCTGCGACTTGATCTTGGCTCGAACCGCAGACTCTTGGGGCTGGCAGCCAGCCATTAGGATCCGTCTGCAGAGCTCTGCCTCTAACGTCAGCTTCGTCTCGACGTGGTGCTCTATGCTGGGGATGTTGAGATCCTGCGACAGCGACGGGAGCTTGTGCTGCGACTTTGACTCGTTGAGTTCAAACAGGTCGACGAGCGACTTGAAGCCGATTCTGTCAGTGTTGCCTCTGCTGATGCCGACTGCGCGGTTCATCTCCTTCAACTGCTCGCCGTACACATCGACATCTTCATCGTCGACTCCGACTAAGTGGGAGATGTCAGATTATATAGATCGTAGAATTGCTTTTTCGTCACCTCCCATTTCTTTTGTTGGACTTACTGCAATCGCTAAAGACGTGACCGTCACTGATAATCCACATCTTGGCACCGGGCTCGTACACCCTCTCAATAGCCTCTACAAACTCGTGAAGCCGCTCCAGAGCGAGCTGCTCCCCGCGGTCAGGGGCTTTTCCGAGGACCTTGTTGGTATTTGACGATTTACACGGGAACGCAGGAAGACAGAGCTCGATTCTGGCATGCTGCGAGGTGAAGTGTCGAACACGCTCCGTGAAATACGCTTTGCCGCTCGCTTCCCACTGGTCGTCCTTGCCCTGATACCTGAGAAAGCTATCAAACAGGCTGACGATCTCGGATGTGGCGTCCATTGGGGAGGCCGTAGAAGGGCCACAACTCATATGCTCATGGTCGCGGATGGCAAAGTCGGCTTGGTCTAAGAGCAGTTGGACAAAAAAGTCATCAAACTGTGCGCTGGCTGTGTTTTGCTGAGACGTAGCGGCGGCGTCGATGATGAAGCCCGCCGTCGTGTGTGAACCGCTCCGTTGCATCTCATAGAGTTTCGAGCCTTGAAATGGCCCGTCGAGATTTGTGGACACGCCTTCGCTGGGTGCTGTTGTCGTTTCTCTTGCCGTCTGAGAATTCTGGCTGTGGAGTTTGTGGCTGATGAACGACGTCCAATACTGCTGCACGCAGGCTTTCTGCGGCCCGGTGCAGTACAGCAGCTGCCCTTGCCCGTCGTGGACGAAGGCGGCTTGGAACCGGTGAAAGATGGAAGTGCCGTCGTTGGAGAACTCCATTGTGAAAATAATAATGAATTAAGAATATGAGTCGTTTGATGTTGGAATAGTGATTAGAGAACTATAGAGGGTCTTGGTGATGTCGTGGCTTGTTGATTAGGTAGGGAACCTAGTGGTTTCTCGACGAGGGGGTTATTATAATACTAAACACAATAATGTGATCGAGGGACTCTAGAAAGCACCAATACTTCTAGAAGTCTTGATTTGGGGACCTGGTTAATCCGATTGGACGCTGCTTTGGGTTCATGTGGTACGATTATGTTCTGATAGGTATGTTGCGTGAGAAAGGAGTCCTCCTCCAACTCGAGGAATACCGAGGTGGGCTGTGAAATGTGTCCGCCGTGCGACCAAGACAGACCCAAGAGGAAAACGAGGCGTTGGTATGCGTTTGTGCCGCTTCAACGCAGGTGGGATTACTGTCAGCTCAACACAGGAAAGAACAAAAATAAGACAGATGTTGCTGGCTGTAGATACACAAGGAAGCCCCGATGGTTGCCGAAGGAAGGAAAAGGGTTTAGCAAGAAGTTCTTCAGCAGAAGGAGGTGGCGGGACAGGGGATGATGCCTTCCTAGTCTAATCCACAGGTAGGTTGCATATATGGGATCACCGAAGAATCCTGAATTAAGACTTTGCCCGACTTGGGAGAAATGCGTGAGAAGGAACTAAGATCGTTGTACATGTACAAAGTGCAGCAGCAGGGCTGGGGCCAATGCTTGGTAGAAGAGCAGGAGCTATCCGCAGTTTGGGTCTTGGGGGCATGAACAAGATGCCTGTAGCGGGCGGCATGCGGATGAACCGAGGGAACGTAACTTTTTCCTTCGTTCCTCCTTTCTGGGGCCCTTGGTGCTATTTTTTCTTACTCGCATTCGTCCCTTTGCTGAGAAAGACCGAGTTCCTTAGGGTAACACAAGATATCCAGGTCTTGTGTCCCCACCGAGCTGTGACCAGGGGGTTGTTCAGGCCCATTGTTCTGTGTACAGGTACGAATACGCTGCTTGGGGTGCATACTACTTGCTTCGTACACAAGGCCATCTGATGATGGGATTCCATGGTCAGCCCCTCGAGAAGCAAGCAAGGATTCAAGTGTCCATGGAAAGTGGGGGTACGACGGGGCGTTTGCCAGCATCGTTCAACGACCGTTGTCGTTGGTCGAGAGTCGAGAGGGGAGGCCCAGTCTAGATGTTGGAAAAGACGTGTCTCCAAGAGCAATGAACAAAAAACCGCTGTTCGGCACAGACCAAGAATAAGTCAAGGCTTCTGATCCGAAGGAACGAACACGACTAATCAAATCCCATTAACATCACGCCATTAAGATCATCTTGGGGCGAAGGGAACAAAACCAAGGACACTCCACTACCTTAAAGGACCAGCCGTGCGGAACCTTCGCGCTAAAAAGCAGCAAACCTTACATCTCGGTCTTGGGTTGCCATATTTCTCTTAGCTCAAAAGTTGTCAGGCCTTGGCGTCGTCGTTGTTCATTTTCGAAGACTTCGGTAAACTCACAAAGGACATGCTGGCAGGGGTTATGAAGGGAAGGGCAGGGCAAAGCCAAGGCACGAAAGTCCGAAGGCTGCGCTTCCATGGGCCGCATGGCGGTCATTTCTTGCGAAAAAAGGCAAACGAATGATTTTCCCACAGAATTTACCGCCCCGGTTCCTCACGCGCGAAAAAAAAAAAAAAGGTGGTTCCCACTCGAGTGCAAATATTTATTTGTACTTTGCAGTTTGCATGTCCGCAGCACAGGCAGGCAGCTTGCTGAGATTCCGCAAGATACCGCAGCGAGCATACGCAGTATGCACCGACTATGGCGCGGCTTTCTTGGCGTTGGATTGCGGCTTTTCGAAAGTTGGAGTTGCATTCGGGTCGACGTGAGGTTCTTGGACATAGAGCAGCACAGGAGTTGCTTTCCATTGGGTGGATCGGCATGCTTTCGCTTCTGGTGCATTTGGACGAAGATCGAAGCGGCCTTCTCCAATCATGCTTGTCGATTAATTTAGAAGCGTAGCCCCTGGTTCTTAATTATGGGGAACCGAGAGTTCGGGCAGGGATGATGCGGGAAGTACCTGTTCATCGGAAAGTAGCGTCTTATTATCACTATGATTATCAAACTTTGTAACCCTATCTAAACCCCCAGAGAGCAAATCAAAACTCAATCTACCCAAAACCGCCCGAACCCGCGCATCACCCAGGCCCGACTAGTTCACGACTCTCTTTTCATCGTCAACCCTGTCTGTCAAAACCAGCCGAAGTGCTCGAGGATAAAGGGGACCGGCCTGGAGAAAAAGCGAACAAGAAGCCTTTCGTCAGCGCTGAATTTCTGGAAAGAGTGGGGAACTCGGTCTACCGCGGGCACATAGGCAGCAACAGGCTTAAACTTACCGGAGTCTTGCGGTCAACCCACATCGGGTCCAAAGCGAAGGAGAATTCGCGGACCAGCTGGATCAGGGTGGTCCTCATTTCCAACATTGCGAATTTCTCTCCGAGGCACGCGCGTTTGCCTGAGATAGAGTCAGCAGGTCCATCATGGTAGAATGATTCACCACTCTTTCTTTGGAGTCTGTCTTACCACCATGAAAGCTGATCCACTCCCCCCTTACCCGACGGCGGCGGTAGTTTTGCTGAATAACTTCTGAGGATGATCCCCACCTGCAAACATGAGCCTCACGATATTTCAAAGGATGTGCACTTGTGAGACGAACCGTCCGGGGTCAAACTTGTCTGCTGTGGGACCCCACGCAGTCGGGCATCGGTTTGTTGAGTAGCAGTGGTAGCCGACATATGTCCCTTTTGGGATTACGACGTCGCCGCCTAGCAGCGCCGTCTCCGCAGCCTTCCGGTTGATCAATTGACCAATGGGAGGGAACAAGCGCAAGCACTCGTAGATGAGCGAGGTGAGATACGGCATGTCTTCTTTGGCCAGATCTGCTGAAGACTTGGCATCCTTGGAAAGGATTTCTTGGCGCAAAGCCTCTTGCGCCTCCTAACCCCCCACCAGTCTTGTCAGCAACGAATGCACGCGTGAGACGGCACGGGCCTGGGCAGGTTTGCTGACTTACAGGATGTTTCGCCAAAAGATACAGGCTCGATATCATGAGCAGCTGTGGGTTCTCTTGACCGGCCACGAATGACACGGTGAGGTTGTCGAGGAGCTGCTTCTCATCCCACATGCCCGATGCTCTGGCGTCGAGCATGCGCTGGCCGAGTTTGTCGTCGGATTGGTCTGACAGGGATGATGTCTTCTCCATAGGCATGTGGTGGCTCGCCTGCAGCGCGCGTTTGAGCTCGTTCTTGAACAGGCCCACAGTGCGTCGGGCCGCCAAGCGAGACTTGAGCGGCAACCTGTCGAGGAATGGAAAGCTCATAAAGATGGGCTTGAAGATCTCCCTCTTGACCGCCGTCTGGAGGAGATTGATAGGAGCATCTGCCCTGTCGAGTGCCTACGACGAATCGGCTGCGGTCAGCACGCTGCGAAACACCCCTGCTAGATTCGGTCTTGTCGTGGGGGCCAGGGCGACTTACATGCAACTTCGTACCCAAGACGGCTTCGGTGAAGTTGGAGACGGAATACCGCTGCAACAGGTCCTGCACAGCAACGCCACCGCCTCCGCTGCCGGCCCGCTTTTGGGATTCACGAAGGAGACGGCACAGGCTGACTGCGTTGCTTTCGATGATTTCGCCATCGAAATTCCTCTGGAGGCCTGGCTTGATGACCGACCGATAGTTCTTCCAGACGTCGCCTCTTGCCGAGATAATATTGTCGCCTGTTTCCGAGTTAGAATTTTTCGAAGCACCAAGGGTGGCAAAGAACACTTACCAAGGAACTCTGCCAGGACGCTGTGTGGGATTTTCTTCTGGTTGCCGCTCTTCTCGTACAAATCCTCGTCTTTGAATATTTCAACCAGATACGAGGGACGATGTACCAAGATGTTCCATTGCGCGCCAAAGAAAATTTTGACTGCTCCATGAGTACGCAGCGGCTTGTCGATGTACTGACGGAAAATGTCCGACTGGTCAACGTCCTTAAAGAAGGGAATGAGGGCTACCCAGAACGGTATCGCCGGGATGTTTTGCGGGTATCTAGGAGGCAAGAGAAGAAAGTAGTAAACGAGTCCAAGGAGCAGCGCTCCGAGGAGTAAAACCTCTAGCAAAAATAGTAGCATCTCGTCGTGAATGGTGTCTGCAATTACGGTGTAAGTCAAAGCTGCGACAAAGAAATAACAAGCTTATATGTTCAAGGGCCGATGTTCCGAGGAAGCGAGAAAGAGCAAAAAGCAACGGTAGCACTTACAAGGGTCAAGATGAGACCATCGACAAGACGGAAGCAGTCTTCCTTCCTTCTCCTCAGCCCTACCCAAAGTAAGGTAGCAGAAGCTCTAGCTGCCTAGAGATGACATGCAGGAAAAGGCTACAAGACAGGATTAGGAATCACGGTCAGGTAGGTATGAATAGAGGCTTCGTCGTCTTCTCGAAATAGACCGCAGATGCGCGTTGGTGGTGGAACATGGAACATTGCGTTTGTGCCTCCGAGACATCAGACGTTCGTCGTACAAATTTGTCTGCAGACCTAAACTACAGTCAGCGGCACGCCGGGCTGTGCGATGCCCGGCGCATCGGTCAGTCGCACCAGACAAAGTCAAGGACAAAAGGCCACATCCTTGGGAAGGTTCATTGGCCGCCAAGCGGGCCTGATGCGAGTTGTGATGCCAAGAATGACCAGACAAGGAATAGAGGAAGCAGAAGATGCAGCGAGAGAAAGAGAGTTTGATGAGGTTCTCTGGACTTTCCCAAGGCGGGTTGGCGTAAAGTGGACCGGGGACGTGCCTTCAGGTACGTATTGCGACCGTAGAGGTACCGGTACTTTGGGCGGAGCCTCCCCGCATACGCCCGCCAGGGAACTGCGGCAGTGCCCCGATGAGGATCCAGCAAGAGCTGACCGAGTGGGCCGGTGTTGGACAGACTGCCTTTGACCTGGACGGAGTACGTTACTACCTTGCGTGTAAGACTGAGAAGGGCTCGCCCAAGAAGCCAGGGGTTTATTAAATGGACACTGAATCGTTCATACATACCTTGCATTTCCTAGTGTCCGTACACAGGATCAGAAACAACGGTAATCACCGGAGCAGTGCTGCTTCATTTTATCGCTTTCTGACTTTTGACCGCCGAGTTTCTCTTTCTTACTCCTTCGTGCCCGTGGGCCTGCCTCCGAGTCTCTAGTTTTGAGTATCATTCCTGCATCGCTTTGTTCAAATATTCTTTGTCAAAGATGGTTAACTCCAGTCCATCAACTTCGGGCACGACGACGCCCACTAAAGATCACATAATGTCTTCACAGGAGGTGCCGGCCCCGGCTAACACCAGCACTACCACCGCCAGCCAGCCGCCGCCGCCGCCGTCGCCGTCGCCTCCAGCCCAGTCCGCCGGGGATCCAGAGAAGAAAGCCGGTGCCCCGCCGGCTTACTCGGCCTTCTCGCCATGGCGAAAGCGCTTCATCCTCATCGTTGTCACCGTGGCCGGGTGTTTTGGGCCTCTGGCCGGCAACATCTACCTCCCTGCTCTGCCTACCTTAGAGAATGAATTCCACGCGAGCGCAACGGCCATCAACGTTACCGTATCCGTTTTCATGCTTACCTTCGCCTTCGGTGTATGTTCCCCAGCCTTTTCAAAACCCATACTCAAGATAGCACATGACACTTACACTCCACCAGCCACTATTCTGGGCCAGTTTCGCCGATTGGAAGGGCAGGAGACCACTGTACATCATCTCTCTCTCCATCTATATTGTTGCCAATATTCTTCTGGCTGCAGTACCAGCCAACTATGGCGCTCTTGTATTTCTTCGTGTCGTCCAGGCCTTTGGGTCTGCGGCTGTGGTGTCGATGGGCGCAGGCACTGTCGCCGATGTAAGTTCCTCGAGAGAATTTACCACACACCAACAGCTCACACTACTAACCAAATTCTCAGGTCACTCCACCCAAAGAGAGAGCATTCGCAATGAGCATCTTCCTCCTAGGCCCTCAGCTCGGCCCTGTCCTCGGCCCAGTGATAGGAGGCGCGTTGACGGTGGCATCATGGCGCTGGATCTTTGGCTTCCTTGGTGAGCCTTTCCATCCTCCCAGCCCGTATCAAACAAAACCATACTAATTATACTCCACAGCCATTGCCGGATTCGTGCTCTGGATCATCATCTTCCTCATGCTTCCAGAGACTCTGCGCGCCAGGGTAGGCAGTGGCAAGCTCTACTCCCAGTCTAGCTTCATCCTCTTCCCTCCAAAGCTGTCTTCGCCTCTGGCACCAGAATCGGAGAGAGGTCCCCCGCCTCCCAAGCCAACTCTGCTCATGTACTGGCGTCTCTTCAGCTACCCACCCATCGGCATCGTGTCCTTCAACACCGCCATGCTCTACTCGACCTACTTTGCTATCGCAGTGCAGCTGCCCACTGAGCTCGCCGACCGCTACAACTGGTCCAGCGCAGGCGTCGGCGCCGGTTTCATCGCCGTCGGCGTCGCCATGATTGCGGGTTCCTTGATAGGTGGACGCTTCTCGGATTGGCGGAGAGCGCGCGCAGTCAAGGCGTCTCCTGACAACACCGTCGATCCCGAAAATAGACTTGCAGACCAGATTTGGGGTGTCATTGTTTGCGCTGGTGGATGTGCCATGTACGGGTGGTTCGTCGACATCTCACTCCACCCCGCCGCCGTTCTAGTTGCCACTTTTCTGAGTAAGTTCTTGTACTACATTGGGAAAGACGGTTATGTTTCTGCTTCCCATCTCACGTGAACCCGAGACTGACGTGTGTGACTCTTGTACAGCCGGCTTCGGGATGAACTGGGTATTTGTGGCCACGACGGCCTTTTTGACCGAGTGCGTGGCCCAGCAGGCCGCAGGCGCCTTTGCGCTCGGGAACATGCTACGGAATCCCGGTGCTGCCATCGCCGCCCTTGTGATCCCTTCTCTCGTCTCCAAGATGGGAAGTGGATGGTGTTTCACAGGACTCGCATTATTAGACTTGGTCCTTGTCGGGTCTGCTGTAATAGGTTAGCCCACCTTTAGTCGCGTCTTGGAAAGCTTGTATGCTAATGGTGTGTCTCACAGTGTTACGAATTAAATCTCCGGGATGGAGGGCAGCCCGCAAAGCCAAGATGGCGGCGATGGCGGCAGCCAAGCAAGGTGGGCCGAAATGAGTTTGACGAATAATGACGAGCGTCAATGGGACTAGAGCGCAGACGCCCATGAAGGAGAGTCTAACATAATTACTGTCTAATGTTTATACAAAATTGATAATGTTCAATCTAAATGATCAACGCAAGTTTGACTCAACGAGTTTTTGTATTATGCAAGATGATAGGTGGACTACTTCTCATACGTAGCAATGATTCTATCCGCCATCGCCGGCAGCGTCTCTGCCACAACGTCCATCTCACCGAAAATCTCTGGCAACGCCTCTCCCTCCAGAGCAGTGCAGTATGCCGCCTTGAATCTGCGAGATGTCAGTGAGTCCAATACAACACAAAGATCAGTGAACTAGTAGGTCGACTTACCCCACAGTCTTCGCCGTCGACGCATCCCACAAATGCGCCGCCGCAAACCAAGGCTCGCACCCATCAGCAGACAACTTCTTCAAAATAGGCGTATACGCCTCGGGAGTCGGCTTCGCCAAGCCAGACGAATCGCACGAGAGCAAGTTCTCAACAGGCATCTCGACCCCGCCCCTCGAGAAGTAGCCACCGACGCGGGCGATGTCGCCCGCCGTGAAGCACCACACCGTAAAACCCGCGGCGCGGAGCTTCGCCACGCACTCGGCGGCGCCTTCGCGCAGTCGCAGGCTCTTCCACTCGCCAATGAGGTAGTCGACGTCCTCGTCGCTCGCGAAGGCGCGCGGGTCCTCGATGCCGGCGTAGTGCAGGCAGCGGTAAAAGAGGGCGGTGAAGACCTTGTAGAAGACGACGTAGCGGCCCGACATGGAGAGGTAGGTGTACTCGCGCTCGGCGACCTCAAGCCAGCAGCAGCCGAGGAGTTTTGGCTGGATGCCGCGGGCGCGGAGGCGTTCGCCTAGGCGCTCGTCGATTGCTTCGAAGAGGTGCTCGTATGTGACGAGGGTGCCGACTACGTCGAAGACGACGTTCTTTGGTGGTGTCATGGTGGGGGTTGGCTGATGTGTGTTGTGTGTGTGTGTGTATGTGTGTGAGAGAGTGCTGTTCCAAGGATGCCCGAAAGAGGTAGGTTCGGGGATGATTATTGGATGGTTACACGATGCAAGGGGTTGATCCAGGGTGTGTCTGTTGGCCCGAGAGGTCTATACCAACACGATGATGTAGATTAAATATGAGGCTTATCACGAGGCGTTGCATGGGTCGCGCCTTTATGGAAGACTGTGCTTCATCTTGGAGATTTGATGTTGTCTCCCCGCACGTGTAACGAAGTGCGGGGAGTTCAGAACAGGCATCACGCAGGTAGAGTTTCCGGCGCCGATTCCCGGTTTCCTATCGGCTCTTTTGATGTTCGAGTGGGCCTCTTTGCCGGAAAGGATACACGGGTTGTTGCTTGGGGGAGGAAAACGTTATCAGGCTTGTTGTATCTACTGGGATACAGCGGATGCTGGGATGCGACTGTGAACGTTACAAGGGGACTGGAGGAAGAAACGCCGGCCCGGTGCACTCCCACGTATGCTGATGCTTTGCTGGCCGAAAGCCCATGGCTGTAGGGAATGCAAAAGACCAGCCATGAGTGGTATTCACACCGACGATGTTGAACATTGCGGCGGACGAATCCGACGCTAGACCGGTCAACAATCTGGGGAAGTTGAGCTTGGCGATAGGAGGAAGTCAAGTGGACGTAAAGTGGAGACAAACCGCTCAGTCTATTTCGTATCTGGACAGCTCATCGCCCAGGGAATTTTAATAATGAGTAAATCTCGCAGGACATCCAGCATTACGTTTGCCAGACGGTTATCTTGAACGCCGGAGCCGGCCTCATATACATACGGTTTTCCGGCAGCCAGTTTTGTCGCCGGTGTTTGGTTTGCCTTACCCGGCTTCTTATCGAGTCAACTGATATGCGGTTAAAGACGACAGAGGGGGGGGGGGGTGGGGCGCTGGGGGGGTGGAGACTGGGGACCTTTGTCAGATGCAACGCCAAAACGGAAAGATAAGGACGGACAATAGATGTCCGAAGTGACGGATCAAAGCCGCTATCGGTATGGTTAGGCCGGAGAAGTCATTGACAATTTACTCCGTACAGAACACTCAATTTCTCGAGAGAAAGACTTACCGAGAATCATTTTCGATGTACCATCAATATAATAAAGTGAACTCATTAATCAGGTAGTCAGCTGCCGTAAAGAACTTCGACAGAGCATTTCCGAAAATTTCATTCAAAATACAGAGTAAAAACAGTACATGTCTATCAAATTGCTCAGTTATTCATTGTGCTTCAAAAATGAAGATAAAAGTATATGGATCAATAAGTCACCTCATTGTATTTTAATTTTTTTATTTTTATTTACTAGAATTGACAACTGTCTAGTTGCAGAGCGCCCTTGCGTAGAGCGCCAGATCTATTCGAGTTCCCAAATAAAGCATAATACCATATACAAAACCGGTTATCAGAAAACATAGACATTGAGTATGAGATCTGTTATCTCAAAACCAAGCCGATTCGTCTTGGTATCTACTAAGACCTACGCAAATGATGGTGCTTAACATGCTCGAGGCTCTTTCCGGAAAATGTCTACGCTACAACGGCTAATCGAACCAATGACTACAGGCTTTACAACAAGGTCAACTCTAGTGGGTATGCTCCCTGCAATGCGGCTCTAATATGACACTTTACATGAAATTAACCGACTCTACAGTTTTGCCGGCGGCTGATTGACCGACTTCCAGCTCTCAAGAATGGAATTCCTGGAACTGTCCAATCTCGCTTGAGAAGCCTGGTAGACTTTGGGGATACCCGTAGTCTTGAACTCAGACTGCTCCATAATCATCGATGCTACTCCCTTAGCCGAGAGGAAGATCTGCGGCATGCCATGGCCGTTGAACCCGGCAATGATGAATTGTTTCTCTTTTCCGGGAACGACGCCAACGTGCGGCAATCCGTCTGATGAGTATCCCATGACTGTATTGTTGTCAGTCACTGAAATCATATTTCGAGTCCGGCTGAATAGGGGCCAATTAACTTACTTCCGGTCCACACCTTTGACGTAGTCGCACCGCTGTCTTCCCATCCGCGGAACACACGCTGCATATATCCATCAAAATGCGTCTTCGCCGCCTCAATCAACTCGTCATCGTTGACCTTGTTATACCACGCCGATAAATCATGATAATACGAGGACCGCGCACCGCCGACGACGATGCTTCCGTCGAGTCGGGGAATCAGATACTCGTACTCCGTGTCGGACCACCGGATGATGACCGAGTGAGGCAGCAATGGCGCAGGCGTCTTGCCGGGCGCGATGTGGCTGCAGATGCCGCGAACGGGGACAATCTTGTCGGCGAACTCGGGCAGGATGGACGACGTGTAGCCGTTTGTCGCGTACACGATCTTTGCGGCACGGACGGCGCCCCGCCCCGTGGTCAGCGTCAGGTAACCGTCCGCGTCGGGGGTGCCGGTCACCGCCTCGACGGGCGTGTGGGTCTGCAAGTTGACGCCGGCATCGAGGGCCTTTGAGAGGAGGGCAAGGATTAGTTTGTATGGCCAGACGGTGCCGGCGGTATATGATAGGCATCCCTTTACTCCCTTAACACCTGATAGCTGGGGGTAAACAGTTAGTCGCTGAGTCTAAAGCGCAGGCCGCAGCTCAACTTACTTGCTCCGCTTCGGCGCCGTCGGCGTAGTACACGTCCTTCATTACGGAAACGCCAGCTTTCCTAAGCAACTCAACGTTTGCCTTCATCTTATCGCGGATACTCTCTGACATCAAGGCATCGACTGCCCTAGTCAATACAAAGTCACAGTCAATGCCTTCGGCTTCAATGGTCTTCTTCACTTCCATGAGGTTCTTGGCCTCGAACTCCGCACATTCCTTCGCAGTCTCGATGCCATGTGTGGAAACGAAACTTGCGGGACGATTGTACGGATCCGGCTTCAGATGGCCGCCTATACCATATCTCAAGTCAACAAGGAAGCTCAATTGAGAAGACATGACAATGATGGGGCTGTCAGACATACCATTGCGTCCAGTTGCCCCGGAACATGCCTGTCGGGCCTCAAGGATCAAAATCTTTGGCGGCGCAACACCACGCGCCTTGCACTGGTCGAGGATGTGGTATACCGTAGCAACACCTGCATAGCCTGCACCAATGACTGCAATGTCAACTTCGGCTGGCAGCTCTGGGGTAGACCGGTGATCGTCTAGAGGGTGCGGGGATGACCTCCAGAAGGAGGTCGTGGAGTTGGGGACGGGGAGCGGGGAAACGGGCATGGCTGTGTGACAGGGTGTGTGTTTGTCTTTCTTGGGGGAGAATCAGACACGAGATGTTGTGAGTGACTGTTTTCAGCTGCACGAGATAGAAGTGGGAGACCAAGCCGCCGCGTCCGCCGTTATAATTAAAGGCTCAAAAGCCTCGAGCGCGGATGTTCCATCACGGTCCGCACCAAGTAGGCGAGCGCCGGGGGTGGGGCGGGGCCGGGACGGGAAACCTGTCGGGAAAGCTGTTCCGTCCGGTGAGCGGACTCAATTGTGCCTCCTTACTACCTTACTCGTAAAGTCAAGGAGGGCCAGGGAGGGGACCGAAATGTTCAAAGGGTAAAATAACTGACCGGCCCGGTCGTTTGCGGGGAACCCCCGTTTGGGTATGCGTTTCCGTAAAGTTTATCAGCAGCGATCCTTCAATTCTCGGCCTCTTTAAAGCCCATTCAGATAATCCTCCACCACCTAACCCAGGACAGCGGTTGCAGCACAACCCTTTAGAGTTATCGACCGGCCCGGTCAGGATATTGGGATTAGAACTCAGGCGCAAGAAAAGAGGCCCGCTCTTCCCATGTGTGTCCCATACATATCCCAATCCCTTGCGGGCATGACGCTGCTTATCTGCGTATCTCCATGTTGGGGTGGCTGACAGATAAACCGGGGAAGCACCAACTACCGATAACCACGATAAGCCTTTACTGGCTCGGTGAGACTGGGCAGGCCCCGGAAGATAGGTAGACAAACTGACACAGTAATCAAGCAGTAGGTCTACGAATCGAACTGTCCAACATGGCTGTACCCAGTGATCCTTACCCAACCCCAGAATAGAAACCATCATCCGCACTGACTAGTTGAATGGCTCTCTGGCAAACTGCATCCATCCTGGAATGAACCAATGGCAGCCTCTCTAATGATATGACAACACCCCTATATACAGGCTAATGCCAGGCCCATCGACTCATCCCCAGACTCGACACCCGCGGTCTCTAGCACGCTCCAGTGCTCTCTTCAAACACCATGGCAACTACACAGACAAAGGACGACACCAAGATCCCCGAGACGACTAGCTATCCCGAAGCGACTGACCATGCCGCCGGCACCAGCTATGTGTACGATGAGGGCGCCGTCGAGAACGTCGACGAGGCCTACCTCCGGGCCTCCAAGTCAACGAAGTTCTACAGAGGCGTGTTGTTCCAGATGATCCTTTTTGGAGCGTAAGTAAATCTTGTCTTGGAACAAAGTCCCGAAATCGCGGGTTCGAATTTAATGTCTTCATGTAGGCTGTCCTTCGTCGGTCCTGCCATGTCGGACGCCATCTCTAACCTCGGGGGTGGTGGTCTCTCGACACCATACTTGGCCAACTTGGCGACTGCCCTCAGCTATATGGCCGGCTGTCTGATCACCGTATTTGGCGGACCTCTGATCAACAAGATTGGAATCAAGTGGTCTTGTATGATCGCCGCCGTCACCATGCCTCTTGCTGGTTCGGCCTACTATGTGAGCGCAAAGTACTCGATAGACTGGTATCTTCTCTTTGCAAGAGTACGTCATGCCCCTTCCTGCACTCTGACTATGTCGCTCTGGAGCTAACTTGGTACACAGCTCCTTGGGGGGTTCACATCTGGTTTCCTCTACGTCGCCGAGACGGCTGCCATGCTGTCGTATCCGGAAGCAAACGACAGAGGTTTCTACCTGGGTAAGGAAGGTTCTGGGAGCTCTTTGGGTATGCTTGTGTTAACAAAGTTGGACAGGTATCTGGTCTGCCATGAGAAACTCTGGCAGTGTCATGGGAGGCGCCATCAACTTCTCGACCAACTACTCCAAAGCCAATGCTGGTGGTATCGCGTGGTCCACTTACTTGATCTTCGTCGGCTTCGGTAAGCACCCTTCGCCCCATGCCCAAACCGACTTGGCACATGTTCTAACACGAATCCCTGACAGAATGCACTGGAACGATCTGGGCTCTCCTCCTATCTCCCACCAGACGCGTACGACGCCGCAACGGCGCAAAGATCCCCATGGCCAGCAGCATCAGCTGGAAGAGAGAACTCATTGCGTTGTGGAGACACTTGCAGCGCCCAAAGGTGAGCACAGCCAGTCAACCCCTAATGACTTTGACGAAGTATTGACGGCCCAAACCCTTAGACATGGCTCATGTCCATCCCGGCCTTCTACTCCTTCTTCTTTGGCGGAACCATGGGCACCTATCTCTCTCTGCACTTCTCCGTCCGGGCCCGCGCACTTTCGTCGCTGATTACTCGTGAGTAACTCTCCTTCGTCTTCTAATCACTGTCATTTCCTGAATCAAGCTGACAATTGCATCTGATAGCGGCAATCACCATTGTCATGGTCCTCGCCTACGGAAAACTCTTGGACACGTCCCGCTGGTCACAAGCCCGGCGAGCGTGGATCTCTTTTTTCTTCTGGGTCATCCCCCAGGCCATGTGCTTCATCTGGATCGGCATCGAGTACAGCAAGTTCGGCGGAGGCAAAATCGAGGAGGCCCTCGACTACGAGTTGTACGTCGTCCACCACCCCTGTGCCCCTTCTCTGACTCAAAGCATCGCTAACAGTATCGCTTCCCAACAGGCACACCAGAAGATGGGCCGAAGCTTACCTTCCCTATCTAATCATGTTTTCAACCGGTTACTGGACCCAATTGTCTCTTTACTGGATTCTCGGCACCTTCTCCACGGACGTTGGATCCTCTTCCCGCTCGGGTGGTCTATTCCGCGCTTTCGAGACGGCCGGCCAGGCCGTCTCGTACGCTCTCAACTCCAAGACCAGCGCCGACCCTAGAATTCCTTTCTATGTTAATGCTGCACTGATGGCTATCACTATTCCTTGCATGATATTCCTCATCAGGCTGGTTCCGGAGGCGCCTGCTTCAACGGACATAGATGCGGGAGATGTTGTTGAAGATCAGGCAGAACGGGACCCTGATAACAAATAGAACATGTCTGCTTCTGACTTTACTGATTGAGAGCGTGGGATCGGCTGTTTCTATACAACGTTGAGGTACCATAGGAATGATGAAATGAAGCAGTGACTACCTGAAGCCTCTGACACGCATAAATGCCCCAGTGAATGATTGTACAACACTTCTTGGTCTTGCAACAGTCTTATTGGAGCACACTTGAACACTTGATTCGCAATTTGCAACAGAATAAGGGGCCTTCAAGATATCCCGCAATTCGTAGGTTCTCTTTTGCGACACCCCACCTCTACATTACTTTATCAATCGACCTTGGCCGTACTTAGAGAACGTCAAAGTCCAAGTTCACAGTCAGCGCATTCAGCTCGTTGTGTCATTTGCGGGCACACTTTTTTCTTCTTTCTTTTACCAAGATCTTGACCTATACTGCTTGTCAGATCGACGAAGCCTTACTAACCTACGTGGAAGCTGTCAGAAGTCTTGATTTTTTGAGACAAAGTGGACATGAGCTTGAAGGGTTGCAATAACACATTGTATCAATCAGCTGCGTCAGAAGCTTTATGTTGTACAAAAATTTCGATAGCTGATCATGCAAGTTTCGTTTTTGACCGCAAGTCTAGCCATAGACATCCATCGGGTTCCAACTCTCAATCGGAACTATGCTCTACTCAGCAGTAACATAAGACGGAATATGCTCAGCAAAAAGATAGCAAAAGAAAAAATAAGAGAATAGAAAATTGGGAAACATAAGAACGAAAGGAGCAACAGCGTTATTTGTAACATCAACTACATCTAGACTACCCCTACCTAGTGCATGTTTGATATCTGTACAGGACCGTCTCCCCAATCTTAGCCTAAAGCAACCTGAACTTCCATTTCAAATTCGGCTAACCTTGTGTAAGTATTGACCTCGACTGGTATCAGGGTATTCAAGCAAGGATTCAAACTACAGCTGAGAAATATCCGTTGATAGTTCATTGAAGCCGCCATCGACTTTTCTAACAACGGGATCCAAATTTCTCTGAAAACGGCATGGATCCCCTTGAACCATTGAACGTTGACAGGGTTGTCATCTCTTAGCTCCAAACTCAAACTCAAAATCGTCTGAACAATGGGAGGGAAAAAAAACCCCCAAGTCTGACCCCACCAAAACATCTATAGTTTGGCCAGGAGCGGGTAAAACGGGTGCTCCCGCTTGTAACGGTGACGTTTAGGACGGAGATGGAAAAGGCTCAGAGAAACATCCCTTTTGGCAGAAACGTGTTTTTTTTTTTCCTTCGTCCGTTGTCTGCTTATTCTTGCATTATTCAGCACTGGGCTCCGGACGAACTCAGCCCCGACGACATGTCAAAGAGACGGACGTTCCTTTTTTCTCTCTCTAGTTTCTCAGTGACATTCTGAGACCCGCCTTGTCGCTGGTTAGGTTCATGACCAACATTACGGGAGTAAGAGTGCATCATGGATTTCTTGCCCACCGGTTCGACTTGCCCTGCATCATCAACTCTGAGAATAACTGCGCCCCTGACAGACGGTTACACAGATCATCCCAAAAAAAGTGTTGACAAATCCCATGATCGCCTAGCACTCTTTTCTTCTCCAGCCTCTTAACCATTTTCCCCAAGTCTCATGGCAATGCGAAGGGAATCAAGCATAGTAGGTACGCGCAACGCCAGAACCGAAAATCGCAACACTTTTACTGTCACACACATGCAAACAAGAGAGACATTGCCTGGGCTCTCGTGAACAAAAGTGCATCAATACACCTGAGCGACCATTACCGGAAGGTTCACCATGCCCTTCAGGTAGAAGTTGGCACGTGGGTTGGTCAGGTGTACCTTGGCATGTTGGGCATAAAGGTAGAAACCCCCCCAATCCTCCCCCATTCCCTGCAGCGAATATTACCCCACCCTCAGGTTTTCCCTCCTTCACCGAGACCACGGCCAATAGGGGCGGCCCGGTCGCATCACCACCACACATCCATCCATCCTTTCGTCACATCCACCAGAAATCACCCTCACTCTTGTTGAGCTCTTTCAACCTAATGCCTGCCCGCATACACGCGATTTAGAATCCTACC